AACCTTCTCTTTAAATGTAACACAACTATTGTCCAGCAATGCAGCACCCATTCCATGTTCTCAAAATATTTTGGTTCTCCAAGTACTTTACCATCTTTGAAATTGTAAGAAAGGTTGTCCCTCCTCCCCCTTTTGTTAGAATACATGACAGCCCTTCATATACTGTAGCAGGTGCTGAAGAAAAATGCTTTTCTATTAAGTCAGGAATGTCACTACTTGGGTCATGAGACAGCAGGCAGACCTTCATCATTTTTGCAAAAGTTATCTCCAGGGAAAGCCACTAGCATGTTTCATTTCCACATTATCAACTCACTCTTATCACAGACCATCATTCTTCAGAGACAGCCATTTGAATAATACTTCAGACTTGACAACAGCTGATGGATGAAGAAACATATGAAATTAAACACAATGCCTACTAATCAAGTGCTAAATATGAGTTAAGAAAAAAGGAAAAAAGGAAAACTGGACCATTATTCCATTAACACTAATTACAATACAGATTCAGGAACTGGGAAACATTTTTATATAAACTCCTGAGAAACTGTATACAGAGAAACTGTTTACAGACATAAAAACAGTGAAAGAATGGAAGCGAACACTGTACCAAAATCAGCAATAAGTTATAGTTACTAAAGTCTAAGTAGAGGCAGGTTCTTTGGCACTGGAAGGAAGGGCAATTCACCACACCACCCACAGGCAAGATTTAATTCTCACCATACCTACGTGCTGTTAAGATTTTATTCTTCTGTCAGAAAAAACAGCAAAGGCAAAAATACATCCTTCCCCTTCTCCCAAACTCATACTTGATCACTTCTTTTAAATCAAGTTAATTTACAATTGCACTGAAAAACAGAACTAAACAGAACCAAATTAAAGATGTTAAAGTGTTTATTTTAGAAGTGTTGATAAAAACAACATCTTCAATACTGTACATTTGTTTAATAGATAATATACAGCAAGGGAGGTTATTTAAAGTGTACAGAATAAATGGGAACTTTCATTAGACTGGGCAGGGGGGAAAGAAGAGCACTTTACTTGTTGCATCATACTGGCAAGCTAGTAAAAATGCTCAGTGAAACACCTCTATGAAAAGACAGACAGGAAAAAAAAAAATCACATTATGGAAATATCAAAAGAACAATAAAGGTTAAAAAAATACTGCTTTCTTATTTTAATGGGTCTGGCTGTGATGGAGGTCACTTTCTTCATAGCAGCCTGTACAGGGCTTTGCTTTGGATTAGTGGCTAGAACAGTGCTGAGAACACACCAGTCCTTTGGCATTTGCTGAGCATTGACTGCACAGCATCAAGGTTTCCTTTTTCCCCCGCTCTGCCCACTCCAGTGAGTAGGCCAGGGCTCAGCAAGAAGCTGGGAGGGGACACAGTTGGGACAGCTGGCCGGAATTGACCAGAGGGACATTCCAGGCCATACAACATCATGCTCAGCAGCAAAGTTTCCACAATTGAGTTGAATTATTCAAAGCCAAATATACCCTCTTCTCTCAGCCCTTAGAGGTTACACTCTTGATCTTTTTCCAGAGGGAAACACACTCAACCCAATTCTCAGATTATGGTAGCACGTAAGAATGTGCCTTGTGTATTTTCTCATCAATACCATCATCAGCTATTCCTGCTTTTTTTTGCAATGCTTCTATGTTGCCTTTTATTTTTATAAAAAGGTACAATAATGATAAAAAAAACAACTTTATTTAGGAACACAGGAACAACTGTTTTAGTGGCCATTAAGACTGACTTCAAACACATGATTGTGACTACTAGCCATCTACATAAAGGAATAAAATACTGTTTTAAGAGGAGAAAAGATAGTATTTCACATTTAACTGTCCCCATAAAAATCAGCAAACATTTCAACAACCAAAAGCATTTATTAAAAATCAGTTCTATATAGGTAGAAGATAGAAACATTTATTTCATAGAGTCTTTATCCACTCACAGTTTTACAACCAGAAGAAAAAAAACTTTGGAAAAAAAGACAAACAAAAGAGCCCAAAGGGCAAATGAAGACAAACCATCTTCCTATATTCTGGAGTCACAGCTCTAGTGGAAGGTGCTCAGCTTTACTCATTTTCAAATCTGCTGTATGGATTATCAGAATCCTGGAGAAGACCTGTAAAACAAAACAGGACTGCATTTATCATTTTCTTACAGGTATTACATAAAAACCTTGAGTTGCTGACCTCACTGTAAAAAAAAAAAAAGACAATTCTTGTCTTGTAATAGTTGCTCTATAACCCAAACACTCAAGTACAATAATAAATTGAAAGTGTTCTTAGGCACTCTAATTCCTCAGACTATAATCATGAATAGGTATTTCAAGATTTAGGAGGGAGAGAACATTTCTCTATGAAAAATTCTTATGAAAAAAAGATTTTTCATTTGTAAGGTATACCCTAGAAAACACATTTGTAAGACTCAAGTCTACAAAAATCTAAGCATAGAGATGGTTCAGGAAGAACAGATTCAGACTGGTCAGTTTATAAATTCAAGTTACTATAAGATCATCATCCTTCTAAAATGCAAGATGTTGCTACTTTGACTTCATCCTACTTCAATTATACACAACCACCTGTCACATTCAGCCACTTAGATTACTGTCCTATTGCAGAAATGCTCTAAGAACAAGCAAAGATCAGTTCGACATGCACTAAAACCTCTGGTGACCAGAACAAGAGCATCACTTAATCCAGGTTGCAGTACATTTCCATCATGAAGACTCTTAACAACTTTACCAGAATACTGTCACGGAAAGCATTGCAAAGCCATCCAATTATGCTCAGTGTCTGGATATGCATACCATCTTCTGTAACGCTTAGTTGAGCAATCGCTGTTCCATACAGTAATTATTTCAAAAAGACTTTAAGCCACACACCAGATTTGGGCTAGGCAGAAGTGCATACTAAAAATAAAGGAATCCCATAAAAACCCAGAAGCTGACCTTTTGTTGTGAAAGAACAGGAACACTACTGCTATCTTTTCTACCAAGTTTTTATACTTATGTCTGGCAAACCTGGACTCTTCTCTAGCTCATTTGTTTAAGGCATGGAGACAGAAGACAGTTAAGCCAAACAACCTCAATTCACAAATATTCATATTCACAATAGTGGAAGAAAAAGATTACACTAGTCGCTGCCCAATTCTTGTAAAAACTCCCCTCAGAACTTTTCATACCATACCTCTTTTCCACATGCACTTGCACATAGATATTGAGCATTCACTGTTCTATCTGAAAGTCAAAAGCTAATTAGCACTGAAGGCAGACTATACTTTTGTCTACCTTGTTGCACTTCCTTTTGAACTGTCAGGATATTTGAAGTTGTGCTTCTTGACTGACAACTGCTTAGTGCCGATTATTGTACCAGTAACTGCAACCAACTACCTGATAGGGAACAGCAAATATTAACAAGTATGAAAAATCCTATAATGACTTAAATTTACAAGATTACAAGCAGTCAATTTGTAAAAAGTTAAAATCAAACCCAGCCCTCATACCTAATGGCCCTTACTTATCAAAGAAGGGGTAGGCCAGTCACATTTGTAAAGCTTCAGCCAGGAAACACGAAATACAGTCTATTTAGCTGTTACAGTACTTTGTGTCAAGAAGTACTATCCCTTTCTGTAATTGCTTTTTAAAAAATAGTATTTAAGCAATTGTGCAATAAGAATATGGTTAGATGACAGCATTGTCAAGAATTATCCACAACATTTTGAGATCCTGAAATTTTTGCATTTTTAAACTTTTAGAAAGCAGTTACTTCTCAAATTTTAATCTTACCTTTCATGCATTTAAACAAAGAGTTGTAGTGTCCTTTAAGTTTACTCTAGCTGACAAGTAAGCTAACACACAATAAAAAAACCCCAAACGCTCTTTTCCTTGGCCTACCATTCAACCTTTAGTGCCTTCAGGTAACATTCTTGCATTAATATAACCCTAACCCAAATACAGAGGAGAAACATTTACTTTATTTCCAAGCCACCCCCACCTCCTTCTCCATACTTCGGCAGCTGGAATCTATGGATCCTAATATATTTAGTTACCTGAAAGACAACCGAGTAGTGCAATTTTCAAAAGTTTTTGCAGTACTTTTGTATTTCACCCCTTCCAAATACAACACACATCTACATAACATTTACAGAAAATTTAGCAACAGTACTAGAAATTAACATATTATTACAATTAGCATTGCATAAACTCCCTGCACTCATTAAGTTCCACTTAGCAATCAAGGCATCAAACTTCAAAAAATTTTCCACAAAGTGGCAAGAGGTGGTAATAGATTCCCTGACAAAATTAACTTAGGTTGCATACTTCTCTCTATATAGTCTGGCAAGTGCATATTACTTCTGTCTTACATTTCATAGGTCTGAAAGTAGCACAGTAAAACACTAGACACTGATCTCTTACAGCTTAGACTGCTGAAATCCAATGGAAATGATGTCCTACATCCAGTAGTGCCAATTTCAAATTAAGGGGCAGTGTAACACCCCTGATAAATGTTTCCTGTACCATTCTGAGGAGCAAATATACTTTTATCTGCCCCTGCCCCAAAACACTCAGCCAAAAGCCATTTTAGATAACTAGTCCTCATATTTCAAGGGAATCTGTAATTTTTACTCATTATTGCAAATGCCATTTCCAATAGTACTTGCTTTATGTTTAGGAAGGAACAAAGGAACAGATATAATTACCACCAGTCAGGCATTAGTATGTTTTAAGTTTAAGTTCTCTGATCTGTTTTATTGTACAATACTGGAACTAAATAAGGCCTTAAGAACTATGAGTCAATCCAGCGTGAATATTATTGGTCACAATCTTGCCAGGAAAGAAGGTACTCCAAGAGAAATGGCAAGCCCTCCTTCCAAGTGCAGATAACCAGAGAGGTTACAACATCTGACAGACCTTGCTCTCAGTCTCACTCTCAAATCTGCATCAAGTGTTTAAATTTCTTTCATCCTCAGCATTCTAAGTACATCATAAGATTATATTAAGTGAGAGGAGGGAGACAGCAGCTCATCACTTGCACCAATTCTTACTGAAGAAGTTGTATCAGGCTCCAGTAAGCGGACAAAAACAATCTAGAGAGACATACAAAAAAAGAGTATGACAAAAAGCTCCTGTCAGCTACCACAGCTGCTCTTAGCCATGACACTCAAAGAGGAGCTGCAAGCGTATGCTAATTGGATAGCACGTCTGGTTCAGCTAAAGCCCACGTGCTGCCTTGAACCAGACATGAGCTGTCTCTCTCAACTGTTTCCCATCTGACATGAGAGCAACTACCCAACTTGTAATTTACACTTACAGGTTCAGAGAAGCTAGATGTTTGCAGCTTCAGGAGTCTTGTTTGCAATAAAGTCAATTACACAATACTGCTGAACTTGAACATTTGACACATAAGGACACTTACAAGAACTTCTAACATCTTATTTCTATTTACCTTCATTTTGAGGTATTTGACCTACTTAGAGTATTTAAGAAACACTCGAACATTTGAAAGGCATAGTATCTTTCATTAGCTTGTATGAAGTAACAAGGCCTCCTAAAACATATGAAATGACAAAGAAATTGTAAGAAATTAATACCTCTTTTCAGCATATTCATTTATATTATATACTAGGCTAACTATGCAGCTTCTCAGTCATTAAGATCTGACTCTCATCACATATCAGCACTGCCCAAAACCGGAATTAACAAGTGAAATACTTGTAAGAGACTGTATACACTGCAAAAAAGTGAACTAGTTTGCTGCATGTCTTCACTCCTTTTTACATTTTTCCTCTTTATTTTTAACCCCCAGATTAACAACTCTATTCCTAACAAACTAAATAGCTTTAGGTGTATAGCAATACAAGGTTTCCGTGCTTTGCGTTCAAAACACTAAAGAAGGTCAAGACAAAGTATCCATCTTGAACAAAACGAACATGTACTGTGACAACTGAAGGGAAAAAAAAAAAAATCAATGTCTCATAAAATAAAGGCAATAGGATGTAATCCTATCTGATCAAAACCGGATCAAAACCTTTGCATAACTGAAGCAAGTGGTGTGGAAGCCCAAAATCATGAAAGGCAATAATTTTGTAAAAATGAAGAAAAAGAATCCTTCCACTAATATCAGGCAAAATCCTGAAATAAAGCAGCTTCTCACTAATGCTATACTGAACATACAATAGCAGCAAATGCAGCAGCAATTAAATTGTAGTTCCTTTGTATACTACACAAGCTGCAAAGTACTCTGAATTCTACTTTAAAATTTTCTAACAGTCAACATATAATTTGTGTAATCATATTGCATTCATATATGTGAGCAAATGAAAAATACTACCAAATTGTGCAACAAAGAAACAAAGTGTGTATTCTGGATTGCTAAAGCTCTCTATTGCTTCCAGTGCTCCCAAAGGACTGTGGCTACAGTGACACCTGCAATGCATTATAAATGTGTAATTACCATTTAAATGGGGTAAGGAAAGCTGGTGGATGAAACAGGAAAAGGCATTCCCTTAAAGCCAACCAAATACTGAAATTTCAGGCGTGATCATCCTAATCTACAGAGTCAGGTTAACAAAGTCATTGTCATTCTGCCACTCATCCATGCCTACTTAACTGAGAATCCTCTCTGCAGTGTGTTAAGAGTGTAAAATAATCTAGTGTCTCCATAATTATTTGCAGCAATTTCTGTTAGATTATGTTTAATATGCTAACATATGTATTTACTAGACAGTGAAAAATGAAGACACATGATCCAAGGCTATAGCAAGACTTACTCTGTCCCACTGAATTATTTTGACAATCCTTTGTCTCCAAGTTATCAGACTATATACTATATATATCAGCAATAATATTTAGGGATTTCAGAATTTACACATATTTTGTCTTTCGTTTTTCCTCAGTTACATACATCCTTTCAGGATGTGCCAACCATTCATGTAAAAGTTAGGTTTTTCTCTAGGATAAAAATAAATTATGAGAATATATATAAATTTGCTATTGAAATTTAAGTTTTACAGTTGAATTATGATATTTTTCAGGTAAACTGCATTGCAAAACATAACTGCATGAAGAAATGCGTATGCTTAACTCTAAGAAGGTATGCCTTCCCTTAACATAATGAAGGTATGAACTTCTTTCTGATTAAATCATTGATAGATTAACATGCTTCACGCAGAGGCAAAATGACACTAGCTCACATACAACTGCATGCACAGTATAGCTACAAGCATGATCAGTTGAGTTTTGTCTATGTATTCCAGAGGCACAGAATTATACAGTCATATTCCTGAGGAAACTTAAATATTCCAACAAAGCATTGTACAAAGGTCTGAAAGTGAAGCACTGATGAAAAAGAATTGTCTTCACTAAAAAAATGTAGGAACATCCAGAGACAAGAGAACTAGTTTCACAAGCAGAATATGGCTGAACGTAGCCTTTTGAAACATCACTTAACCCCAATGCAGTGCTTTGACACTAAGTGCTATACTGAATTCAGGACCTTGTTCACTCCTTAGCTACACTGCCTCAAGGAGATGCAAAGTTACATGTATATCTGAACAGAGTGCTGCACATTGTTTTGGAGACATAGCCATTGTCTTCAGTTCTTCACCAGATCTATCCCAATGATTCAAACCTGTTGAGATTGACTCCAAGGTCTCCTCTAAGGAGAAAGAAACACAAAAAGTATGTGGTATTTTATGTAGTTGTTTGGATTTTTTGGTGTTTTTGTTTTAGTTTGGTTTTGTTTGGTTGGTTTTTTGGGGTTTTTTTAGATCTGGGCTATTGTTGTCAACCACTCAAACCTCTTGAAACTGAATTGTGGTTGGGATACAGGGTCAGTTACCCTGTAAAATACAACAGGACTAAAGTTCATGACTGATGTTTAACAAAAATTACTTCTAGTTTCTACAACATTCTTTCTTCTGCAGCTCAAGCCTCACAGTGAAGTTTCCCTCAATCCCAGCAAAGGAGCATACTTCTGCAGACATTCCCCAGGCAGAGAATTCCCTATAGAGGTTGTCTGTATCACTTCTGCATCAGTCAAAGGGCAGGCTGCGCACTCATGAAGGCATTCCCAGACTCTGACAATCAGTTTAACAAGAGGATGAAAATTAATGGTTTTGAGTGACTGTTCAGACCCCTAGAATCACCTTCTCTAACATTACTGCAATTTGCATAATAAAAAGTGCAGCACAGTTTTAGCATATCTGTCTCTGAATACACAGTACTATTAACTCTATGAACAAATCAAATGAAAAGTGCAAGCACTGACAAGCCTAGATAATAAGAGCCTCCTATACAACACAGCAGGTCCTAGCCTTGCAATATTCTACTGGACCACAGCTCCACTTAAAAGCAAAGAAAAAACAATTTTAATCCCTACATTAGGTTGCATCCTCCATCCTTTTTTAAGCTTGATTTAAAAAGCTTGCTATCTGCCAGTCAGTCTATCCTCCTTCAATAACCATGCGTCTACTAGCTAATTTCAACTAGATTGGTTTATCACATTCAAGAACACACACACCACCACCCCCAAAAATCAGTATTCTTACTTAGGAAGGGACAGAAAAAAAATGCTTATTTTAGTCATTATATTTAAATGCCCAGCCCAAGCAAACACCCCACCCCAGCCCACTGTCTCTTGCACAGTGGGACAGTCAGTGCAGGAAGAGAACAGGAGCATAATAGTGATGAGATCAGGTGTTCAGGTGACAGAAGACATGCATCAATAGGAAACAGGGCTTGATTACTTCTGCTGCTCATAAAGCAGCTTGTTTCTGCTGTGAATTTTAATGATTAGAAAGAATGAATCAATTTAGATACTGAATATCAAAACAAGATTACCACATACCATACTTCTTACGTATTTCATCATGCTTCAGTTTTCTTTCGTGTTTCCTGCAACAAATAAAGGCATCAGAAGAACATTTTGACAGTTTTAAGGTGAAAGCAAAACACAATAATCACACCTAAAAGACAGCGTTTTTTAAATCAGTACGCAAATACGAATTTTTTTTAAAATCACATTTATGAGTTACATATCTTTCTATATACACTTTATGTATCTGTAAGATCCCCTATAACCTCCCACTAATCAGTACTATCATAGTAAGATACCTTTGCAAGCATAAAGAAAATACTGGTTTTCTATACAAAAGTAATGCATCCACGTATACTTACACGTACACACAATGAGGTATTCATCTATACGCAAGCAGCAAGACGCATTATTGGAAGATTCCCTAATGCTTTCCAGCAGGGAGTATAATTGTAAAATTTAGCTGTGAATACAGTGTGCTTCAGAATCCTAATTCAATAAAATTCTAAAGAGATAAAAGGTGTATTACTGTTTTGTTTAAGCAGTACAGCAAGTGTAAGTGAAAACTACTAGTCTCTAAAATCCAGCATGGCATCCATGCAGAGAATAAATTAAAATATTGTGCTATATAAAAATTGGATGCCTCTAGTTATGTTGTCTAATCATAAGACAGTTTTCAAGACTGTATCTAATATTGCCAAACCTTAATTATCCATATAAACCAGATGTCTGATAAGTCAATTTCTTCCCTTCCTCCTCTCCCCTTTGCAAAGGGGAAGGGAAAAAATAATGAAGGAAGTTTAAATGGAAATCCTTGCATCATTCCTCAGGTAATTTTCCTGTATTTCAAAGGAGCATCTATTTTGCTTAAAAACAAACAAAAAAGCTCCAAAACAACTATCTCACTAGGATGATACAGGAGGAAAGGACATACAATTTTATTTAATTAAATATATTAATTTAATATATTTAATGATATTTTGAGGAAAGGACATACAATTTGGCAAAATAATGTGCCTCTAACAAAAAAAAAAATACAGTTTGTTGCCCATATCAAAATTCTATCCAGTTAGACAAGTTATGACTTTCACCCGTTTCTAATTTGCACATATTCAGCAGAAAGCTGTTAAGCACTGACAGCTTAATTCACCAAAGATCCCATCTGCCCTATGCATATTCCACCTCCAAACAGCTCCTACTGCTAATCAGATGCTGTGTATCCTCAGAAGCAATCATCCTGCTTCCTACGGAGCTGAAGGGCTGCACTGGCCTTTCCCTGGCCAAACTGCAGGAAGAGGAGGAACTGGGGAATCAGGGTAATGAAAGGAAATTCATATACAGGAAGAAAGTCAGGACTGAGAGGCTGAAGAAAACAGGAAGGAGGAGTCTATTTTACCTA